GAATTTTTTCCGAATAATTTTGGGCCGTTTCTTTTGGTCCATTCATCATGAAATTTGCACACAGTGTAAAAGGCAACAGGCATTTTCAAACTATGTAAAACACTGAAAAATTAATAAATAAATACATTTTTATGTATCGACATCAACAGGTATGGAATTAAACTACACAAGTAAAGATCGGGAAACAAAGCTTCTCTATCAGAAAATTAAGTTCATACTAAAAAAAAACAAACAAAAAAAATCATATTATCTTATAATATCTTAAAATTCAGCTTGTATGAATTATATTTTAGTATGTAAGATTTAGTTTCTCATTTTTCTAGTTCAACAGATTTACTGTAACAATTTTTACCCACACAGATTAAATTTAAACGTAAACTGACGCGATGAAATTATTACTACAGGAAGCCAAAAGATCAACTGGTAAATATTAAAATTCGACTAGCAGCGTTTGAGTTTGGACGACAGAAGCTAATTTTCACTAGTAAAAACGTCACTTTGGCTCATGTAAATTGAATTCTTTAGTAAAATCCATCATAACTGAAAACTTCAACCCAACTAAAATCAACGCAAACAAGTAAACAAGTCAAATCACTCCTCACTTATTAAGATTACAGGCTAGACCTGCTTTCCACAGACCAGATTTGTCAAACAGGCCGTTTTCAGTTCAGCGCTGATCTGAAAGCCTTCTAGCAGCAGTTAGAAGGTTTGGGTTCAGGCAGTTGTTCTTTGCGCAACAGCAAAACACGCCGGTAATCCTTGTTTATGAATGAGCGAACGAGTTACCGCCACGCCGCTCGCTATCTGGCCCGAAGTAACCTACGACTGGGACGGGAACCAGGCCTGGCCCTCATTTCTCAGAACGCAGCTGAGATCCAGCGGCAGATAGGTCTGATGTGAGTAATCCATTTCCCACCATCCTAATTTCCTCATGACTCTGAGTGAGCCTGAGTAAACTCAGCCCTGCGAGCAGCGTCTCACTGACCTCTCTGACTCCCCCTCTGTCTCGGCCTGTGGGGGCTGGGGTGAATGCTTTAGCTGGTGTGCTGGGGCAGCGCTCTCCGCTAAGAAAAGGACGGCGGCCTGCAGAACAAATCACCCCTCAAACAGGCTTACACCAGCTTACCCATGTTGACACGTCCAAACAATCGCCGCTGACCGGGCCGCCGTGTTTCCGGGCAGATCTCGGCCTCCTGAAATGTCACGCTCGTTCACCGAGCGCATACCAAACCCTGTGACCACACGGACCCAAATAGAGCGCTTTCTGCTGGAACTCGTCCAGAGCTGCTCAGCACTCTCTCAGCGTCCACCCCAGCCTACAGGTGCTGATCTCCTACAGCGATACTATATAATCTGACACTATTGGTTATATTTTAATTCCAATCATTAATATCTGTGGCATAAACTGCTATTTTAAAGAGCTAAAAATGCAGATAACCAATATTAGATGATAATATTTTATATTTAAATTTGAGGTGGGCAATATAACGATATATATTGGCATCGCCGATAAATTACTTATAAGTACTTCTAAAAATTTTATCTGTGTTTCAGATGTAAACAGAGAGATTCAGAGTGGTTTGGCGTGAAATGGTTCAGATGTCTTCACAGTGGTGGTGATAGGAACCAGGGGTCGCCATGACTACAACACAAATACAGACATTTTATTTACTATCCAGAACCACCAGTGAACCTACACGAGTCTTCTGAGTGTTTATACGGGATATTGATATCGGAAAATAGTGGGAATTCTCAAATTATACGTTTTCTTTGGGGACTATTTTGCCTTAGAACACCCTGCATGTATCCCTCTACCAGGAATGGATTTCAAAATAGGTCAAAACGGTCATAAAACAGTGTCTCAGTCATCAGGCAGTGAATTCATAACCATTTCATGTAGTAACTTCCTGTGAGGGAAGCTTTTAGAGGTGGACGTCTGGTTCCTGTCACCACCACTGTGAACAATTCTGACTCATTAAGTTTCTCTAGAACAGAGCGTTTCACACCAAACCACTCTGAACTGCTCTGTTTACACCTTTAAAAACACTGACCAAATGCATGTTCAATTATGGAGAGAGTATAATTAATGCTTTTAATTAGTTAGAAACGATTTAGAAACGATTAATAAAAAAATTATTGCTGTTTTTAATAGTATATGTTCAAATGTTTGTCCCACTCCAACTTACTGAACCTCAGAAAACTGAATTTGTGATGCATAGAGTATCATGAAAACATCTTAAAGTATGGTGATATTTTTTTGCCATATCTCTTGCCTCAGTTTCTATATTTCTAATTTAATTTGCACTCCAACAGTTAAAATTACATTTTACCCCCACCAGTCATCGATATTCATTTTTGTGTTAGGTTTGGACACATTTTACTTCTAAAGCTGCCATTTTTTGCCATCTGAGCAGCAATTATTCTCCAATACTGCTAAAACTGAGGCTCTGTATCGGCCATCAACATCGGTCAGGCAGTAATTAGCAATCGAATGATCTACCGATTAGTGCTGAGCGATGTCATCTACACTCTTATAAAAGATGGTTCTTCAAGGGCTCTTTAGTAAAGAAAATGGTTCGATATAGAACCATGAGCACTCAAAGAATGCGAAAATGGTTCTTTGCATGGTTAAATGGTTCTTCAGATTGATGGAGAATGCTACTGTGTTAAAAGTCAAGCTTGTAACAATAGCAGAGCCATTTTTGATGCTATAGAGACGCATTCTCCATCAATCTGAAGGACCATTTCACCATGTAAAGAAGCATTTAAGCATGCAAACGGATCATGGTTCTATAAAAGAGCGTTTTCTTTACTAAAGAGCCTTAAATATATATATACACACATTATATACACACACACAACATATACATATATATACATACAGCATCCTTGCTGCAAAGCACTTTGTTTCTAGCATAATTTTGTTTTGTGTGTTTTCTGAAGTTTTAGTAACCTGTAATGTACGTCATTTAATGGGAGCAGCTTGTTTTGAACAGTATAAAATTCACAGAGACTAACAAAATAGTAAGTGTCCTTTCTGTAGTTGTGCTTTCTGTCTTGTTTGTGTTCACAAAACTGTGCAATTTTATAAGAACCAGTCCAATTTTATCCACGCTAGCTTGCACGGGTGCGGACGGGTTCATCTTCAGAGCTTACGCCGCTGTGATCCCTTCAGAGCGAAGGGAAAAAGAGCAAAGCTCAAAAAGTTTTGAGGGAAAAATATCAAGCTGTGTTGTAAACTGGCATTCTTCCAAGTAGGCCTGAACAATATGCATCATTTATTAGTTGTTACTGTGATGATTTTCAGCGATATGCACGAGTCTTGGGCCAACTGTAGGGCTGTATACTGTCTACGGGTGTTGAGATGTTTCAAGACATACTCACGACTCAACAAAGGGAACTTCTCCTGGCCGAAACGACGCAGGCTAATTTTTAACCGCGTCATATTACTGATTCACCAGTGAGCTTTAACGTATTGTGATTGTGACATGCCTGACAATATGTTGCAATACAGTTACAGTGCTGGTATTTTGTCCATAAAGTGGAGACATACTTCTAGGCAGGTCCAACTGACTAATGACTTAAGAGGTCAAAAGTCCACAAACAAAACAAAACTCAAGCCAAAAGTCCAGCACAAATTGAGCCAGCCAACTGCAGACCAAAACATACTGCTGAAAAACAAGACAACTAGCCTCATCATATATATATATATATATTCTTCTCTTGGTAGAAAAGTTAGAACCTGCATATACACCATTATCACTGGTGCTTAGCCCACCGCCGACTCACTGAGGCCAATGACGTCCCATCCCAACCCCCAACTCCCAAATATCTACTCCCCTGTGGATTACAAACGAAGGTGTTGATTAAACCAAAAGGTCCTCAATCCAATTCCCAGCCAGTCCGCATATTTGTTCCATTCCTACTGCAAACATCCAGGCAATCAAGGCTATCAGAAGTCCAACTGTCCAGATGTTTCAAGGACTTCAATGTAATAAAAACCAGCCAAGGGTTATTGAGTACAGGCATAATAAGCTCTGGATCAAACAAAGCTTTTATTACCACCTAGAGCACAGCTATACAAATATGGACGTCAAATCCTGTAGATTTAGATAAGATCTCAGCGCTGCTGGTTAAATGAAAGAGCAACCATAACTGTTGGGCCTACTAAGGTGGTCAAACCTCTGGATTTGAATCTCTCTGCCCTACAGTGGTCTCAAATTTGGTAGTGAAGTAGGGCTGGACGACATGACAATGTTTATCATTATTGTGATAAAATATTAATAATACTAACTGTGGTTATCTTTCATTATAAAGACACCAAAATTTGTTCTGTTCAACTGGATTTAATGCAACACTGGAAATACTGAACAAAATTTGTTGCATTTCTAATTCTTGGTAGTAATTTTTAAAAAGTAGTACTACCGGTTCTTGTCACGTACTGTGAAAATGAAGTATTGCAATACTATATTTTTGCCATATCGCTTACCTCTACTCCCAAGGTGTACAAACCTCTGGATTTGAATCTCTCTGGCCTACAGTGGTCTCAAAGTTGGTAGTGAAGTAGAGCTGGGCGACCTGACAGTATTTATCATTATTGTGATAAAACATTTGACAATATAATATGCTTTTCTGAACAAATTGTGGATGTCTTTCATTATAAAGGCACCAAATTCAGTCCGGTTTAAATGGATTTGGTGCATCACTATGTAAAATATGTAGTTCTTGGTAGAATTATAAAAAATAATAATAATACTACCGGTTCTTGTCGTGTACTGTGAAAATGTCTTGAACTATGGTAATACTATATTTTTGCCATATCGCCCACCTCTATCCCCAAGGTGGACAAACCTCTGGATTTAAAGATTTCTGGCCTACAGTGGTCTCAAATTTGGTAGGTTGGTAAAGAAGCTTGGGAAAGTGCAGAAGAGGAGCAAAAAGGTGCAGATTGAGCAATGCAGCTTGGGAAAGTGAAGAAGAAAGAGAAAAAGTGAACCTACAGTGAGAAGATCCACTCCAGTGCTGGGATCTAATGGAGGCAGTGAATCCTCGAGGTCCTCCAGCCACCAGGCCCTTCTCAGGAACCAAACAAGCCCGGCTTTGCTGGTAGTAATCCATGGCTAAAAAGGGGTTAGGGCTGGCCGTGAGCCCCACCACATCCACACTTTCATACATGGTGCAAAAGAAACTGACAAAAATCCCCCAGAGAGAAACGCGTCCTAGTATGTCCTGTATGGCTCCAACAGCAGGATCCACACCATCAAGAGTGAAGAAGGGACTCTCAGCAGGCTCGAAAATGCAGATATATCAACGTGAAAGGAGATATTTGCAGCTTTTAGCAGGGAAAAATGACAAAAAACAGGCCTGAGGAGGTCAGAAACTGTTTAGTGTGCTAGGAGGTGAGAGTGTGTGTAGTTTGCAAGCCTCCCGAACTCAAACACAGTCTCTCAGCGCAACAACTTGGCTCGTCGTCGTTGCATAATCGATATTACACGCATTAAAAGGATTAAATGTGTACAAAATCGAATTGTTTCGGGTCAAAAATGCACATAAACGCCGTTCGAGTTAAGAAAATAGGTGGAAAAAGTGCAGCAAAACAAAACAAAGTGGAGGCGCTAACCAGAAGAGTCTAGAAAACTGAACTGTTTTAGCCAAAACAGCTTAGAAAAACACATTTAGCAGCGGTTCAAACGGCCAGCAAAGCCCGTCAGGACATCGAGGAGGATTGTAAGATGAAATCCGTGACCGTTTTCTGTCGGTAAATCATTTTGAAATCCCAAAACAGGAGGTTTCCACGCCGACGGGGCTGCTTTCAGCAGTGAGGCTAACGCTGCTAATGTGAACGTTAACGTTAATCCCTCTTCTCCACCAGCCAGGCTGCAGCGCTGCCGCCGAAGAAGTTCGTCCTCTTTTTCAACTGAAAACAAAACAAACACGAGTCGAGCGGTGTTAAACTTCCTCCTTCCTCTCGTCGTCTTCGTTCCCAACGCTGGACGGACTGAGTTGGGGAAAACGCGCCGGCTCCTCCGTCCTCCGCTCGCTTTTTCCTCCCAGCCGAAAATCCCACACAGCGCAGACTGACTGACGAGAGGCAGCAGCTGCGAGCGACGCTCCGCCTCCCCCACGCAAAACCACGCCCACTCCATAGGCATGCCCCTCTTCTGCTCCTCAAGCCACGCCCACGCCGGCTTCCCTCATTTCTCATTGGCTCGATTTTTTCGAATTGGGATTTATTTTTGCTTTTTCTCTCTTTTTTTCATATATAAACACTTAAAAGATGCCTCTGCAAGGGTCTCTCAGTAAAGGCAATGGTTCTATTTAGAACCCGCAGAACCATTTACATGCTTAAATGTTTTGTTGCATTGTCAGACTGATGGAGAACGTGCTGTGTATGGTTCTACATTAAAGCTTTATGAAAACAGTTCTATATTGTCAAGCTTGTGCCAATAGAATAACCCTTTTGGTGCTATATAGAACCATATACAAAAGGTTCCACATAGAACCATACACATTCTCAGTCTGAAGAGACATTCCACTACACAAAACACTATTTAAGCATGAAAAAATGGAACCACAATTTCTATATAGAACTATTTGCATGCGTAAAAACATGGTTCTTCAAGGGTTCTTCAGTGAAGGCAATGGTTCTAGTTAGAACCTGCAGAACCACTGCACACTTAATTTTTTTTCCATTGTCTGACTGATGGAGAATGTGCTGTGTATGGCTCTACACAGAAGCTTTCTAAAAATGGTTCTTGTAACAATAAATAATTTCTGGTGCTATATAGAACCATTTTCAAAAAGGTTCCATATTAGAACCTTATACAACAAATTTTCCGTCGGTCTAAAGAACCATTCCATTATACAAAGAACGATTTAAGCATGCAAATTGTTCTATATAGAACTCATGAGTTTAAATAGAACCATGGGTTCCTGATAGATCCATATACAACACATTCTCTGTCAGTCTGAAAAACAATTTCACCATGCAAAGAACCATTTAGACATGCAAATGGTTCTATATAGACCTCATGGTTCTAAATAAACCCATGGGTTCCAGATAGAACCATATACAACACATTCTCCATCAGTCTGAAGAACAATTTGACCATGCAAAGAACCATTTAAGCATGCAAATAGTTTTATATAGAACTCATGGTTCTAAATAGAACCATTTTGTACTAAAGAACCCTTTTTAAGAGTGTAGGTTGCAATGAAACGAGGAAGAACATGAAATCCTGTTTAAGCAGTAAAGGATCGAGCACCAAAAACACGATTCTAATAGATAAATAAAGACGTTTATTAAAATATCATAAAATAAACAATAATACAATAATAAGTTCTGATATCAGATTAGGTGAAGGGCAGATAACCGACTGAGTTTATATGGAAACAGTTCACTTTAAATGAGACACAAACTCCGCGATCTTCATGTTTACGCCTGCCGGTCGATGCTGGAGAGCCGCTATAGCAACGAGGTGCAAACTACACATAAAAAACGTGTTTGTTGTTTCTGTTTGTAACAAAAGCTGCCGGTGGAACCCGTTTGGAGAACTTCACAGCGTGAATTCAAGAGGAAAAGCAAAAGTGAAACTGTCTGCGCAGCTTAATATCACAGACGCAACAAGGAAAGGAGACAGATCTTTTTCAGGAACGTCACGTTTCTCGCAGAACGCCTTTCAGGAAGGAGCCGGTTTGTTCGCCAACAGGTGTTTGGTCACCTGCCGGTCAGCACACTGGACAGAGTGACGCACTGAGTTCACTCCATTTAAATGTGTACATCATTTAAATAAATTACATCAAATAAATTACATCAAGAGTTTTGGCCAGAAGTAAGAAAACAACGTTTTATGTTGATAAAAAGATGTTAATAAAGCTAGAAAATAGAAAACATGCCCAGGTTGAGAAAATCGAACCAATAAGAACATCATTTATTAATTTTGACATAATATAAATATTTAATACCTGTGGATTCAAAGCAGTTTCATGTATTTAACTAATATTTTAATGCATTTGTATTAATTCGCTTCAAATCTTCAGCTCTTTCACTCATCATCACTGTTTAACAGTTTTATTTATCTGTTTATTTGTTTGTTTGTTTGTTTGTTTGTTCATTTAAGCAAAGATATACACTTAAATTGAAAAAGATGCAAAAAAAAGGTTCTACCCAACCTTTTAGACTAGTACTCAAACTTTTAGAATAGTACCCAAAAGGTTCCACTGTTGTTAGAAGTCACAGAACCTTTTACTTGTTCTATATAATAAAAAAATGTAATACCATATGGTTCTGTGTAGTCCCAAAAAGCGTTCTTCTGTTGTTCATAGAACCTCTTCCTGGTGTTATACAGAACCGTTTTTGCAGATGGCGTAGCAAAAATAGTAACAGTCTATGTACTATGATACAGTACAAAAGGTTCTCTGTAGTACCCAAAAGGGTTCCACTGTTGTTACAAGACACAGAACCTTTTACCTGTTCTATATACATCCCTGTAGACTAGTCTGGCAAAAATACTACGAAAGGTTCTCTATGGTACCCAAAAAAGGGTTCCACTGTTCTTACAAGACACAGAACCTTACGTTGTCATTACAGCTCACTATTTTGGGGCTAAACAGAACCGTTTTGGTAAGAGTGTAGCCAAAACAGTACACAAGGTTCTCTATAGTACCCAAAGAAAGTTCTGCTGTTGTTACAAATCACAAAACCTTTTACTTGTTTTATATACAATCTTTTAGCCTAGTGTGGCAAAAACACTACAAAATGTTCTCTATAGTACCCAAAAAGGTTCTGCTGTTGTTATGAATCACAGTACCTTTTACTTGTTCTATATACAACCTTTTAGACTAGTGTAGCAAAAACAGTACAAAAGGGTTCTCTATGGTACTCAAAAAGTTTCCACTGTTGTTACAAGTCACAGAACCTTTTACTTGTTCTATTTACAAGTAGTGTGGCAAAACACTATCAACGGTTCTCTATAGCAGCTAAAAGGGTTCCGTGGTCATTACAGCTCACTATTTTGGTGCTAAACAGACCCTTTTAGCTAAGACTGTAGCAAAAACACTATAAATGTTCAAAGAGCCATTTAAGTCAGGATTCAGGTGCTGAATCTGATGGAGAGCCGACATACAGTCGTTCTAGAACCGCGTTCATAACAAGACAATGAATAGTCAGTCCGGCTGCGGCCGGCAGCATCCGTCAGCTCTCCACTCCAAGGCTGCTGCCAAGCCCTGATAGCTCCATCCATCAGAGCAGCGACGTATTAGCCTCTCCTTATTTTCCGCCTTCAGCGCTCGCATTTTCGTCCTTGACATGCAATAGGAGGGGTATTGATTTCTTTCCTCACCCTATAAAATATTAGCCCGCGCACAAAAGGCCGCTCGGCCAATAAATACGCGTTCATTAACGGACGGGTACCTTTTTAATCCGTCCTGATCCGAATCACTCCCTCCGTGAAGTGGCGCCTCTGATGGATACGGTCAGTGACACATGCTTTCAGACTAATGATCACATTCGAGTTTCATATAAATCCACACGAACCACTTAACTGACTCCACACGGAGGGCGAGAGGTGCTTAGAAAGGGTCGGCCAGAGTGATTAGCATCAGCGGCAGATAAATAACGGAGAAGATCCGCTGAAAAAAAGAGACGCATTGAATTTACTTTCATTTTCACATGGATAAAATACATCAGCACCACTTTGTCTTTCAACTATATCGCTTACTGAATGGCTTGGATGTAAACCTTTAACCTTCACACACTGAGGTTCTTTAAATAGGTTTAAAAAGGTTCTGTGATTTACAACCCCATTTCCAGAAAAGTCAGGACGCTGTGCAAATTGTAAATAAAAACAAAATGCATTGATGTGCAAATCATTTAAACCCTATATTTGATTGAAAATAGTACAAAGACAACAAATCAAATATTGAAACTGGGAAATTTTGTTGTTTTTTGAAAAATATTCGCCTATTTTGAATTTGATGCCAACAACACGTTCCAAAAAAGTTGGGACGGGGGCAACAAAAGGCTGGTAAAGTTGTGTAACGCTAAACTGGTGGTTGGTTGACAACAGGTCACATGATTGGGTATAAAAGAGCATTTTAGAGAGGCGGAGTCTTTCAGAACTAAAGATGAGGAGGGGTTCACCACTCTGTGAAAGACTGCATGAGCAAATAGTGCAACAATTCAAGAATAACGTTTCTCAACATAAAATGGCAAAGAACTTTTGCTTTTCATCATCTATGGTACATTATAACAATAAAAGATTCAGAGAATCTGGAGAAATCTCTGTATGTAAGGGACAAGGCCAAAAACCAGTATTTGCTGGCTGTGATCTTTGGGCCCTCAGACAGCACTGCATTAAAAACAGACATGATTCTGTAGAGGAAATCACTGCATGGGCTCAGAAACACTTCTGAAAAACAGTTCATCACTGCATCCACAAAAACAAGTTAAAACTCTAAAATACAAAGAAGAAATCAAATTTAAACTGGATCCAGAAACGCAGCCACCTTCTTTGGGCCTGAACCCATTTAAAATGGACTGAGGGAAAGTGGAAAAGTGTCCTGTGGTCCGACAAATCAACATTCGAAATTCTTTTTGGAAATCATGGACACTGTGTCCTCCGGGCTAAAGACCACTCAGATTGTGATCAATGCACAGTTCAAAAGCCAGTATTCATGATGTTCTGGGGGCATTAGTGCACATGGCATTGGTGATGTGCACATCTGTGAAGGCACCATTAATGCTGAATGATATATACATGTTTTGTCAACATATGCTGCCATCCAGACAACGTCTTTTTCAGGGAAGGCCTTGATTATTTCAGCAAGACAATGTCAAACCACATTCTGCATGTATTACAGCAGCATTGCTCCGTATTAAAAGAGTCCCGGTGCTAAACTGGCCTGCCTGCAGTCCAGACCGGTCACCACTGAAAACATTTGCTGCATTATGAAATGAAAAACGCAACAAATGAGCCCCCGAACTGTAGAGCAGCTGAAATCCTATATCACTTTAAGTGATTATTGGAAATCGACTGTATTTTTATTCAACATAATCAAATTCATAATCTCTGTTGTCTCTCTGTGTGTGAAACGCTGTGACTCTGTTGA